GAAAGTGTCCAATGAAAAGGGAGATTTACTGGCTAACGGCTCAGCCTGGACTGCCAGCCATGGGCTGTGTCCGGGATGGGGGAGCAGGCCAAGGGGAACTGGCCAGACCTCAAAGGGCCACAGACGCATGGCCTTTCAGACTAGTCACCCCTGACTGCATTGGGGTCAGGGCTGGGTTCTGAACTCAGCCCCCTGGGCTCAATCCAGAGTCACCCCTCATTGCAATGGGGGCAGGGCTGGGTTCTGATCTCAGCTAAACCAGTATAAAGTCCACGCAATCAGACTCAGGCCTGGGGTGGAGGCTTCGTTAACATTATTCTCTCCACTCCGGTTCCTCTGTCCATTTCCATTGAGATGGTCCCTCTCTCTCCACCTTTCTGCTGCCTTTTTCATCCTGCTTTTTTTTCCTCCTAAACTTCTCTAAGACAGACACAAACCCTGCGAAAGTTTGGCATGAGATGGGGGGGTGGGAGGGATCCGGTGTTTGCAACCCCTCTCTGCCTTTTATCATACACTCAATGGCTTCCAACGTTTTCTTTGGAAGTTGATCTCAATCCCACCCCAAGGGTGGCCGTGCCAGGGTCCCCACCACACACTGGGCATCTCGCACGTGATGCCAGGCGCCCTGGCCTCCCACCGGCTGCGGCTTGTAGTGGATGGAGCACGTCTACGATCTACAGCCCATGGTCAGTGGCAATTAAAATAAACCAGCCCGGACTCATCCCATCCCTGGTACTGCTCCATCGACTCCACTTCACTTCCTGCAGGGATCAGACTGCCCCGCGTGCGCCGAGCACCAATTAATTCAACCAAGGTCCCCATGCAATGCCCACCGAAATCAGCGGGTAAATGCCCATTGATGGGTCAGTTCTCTAGCTGGTGACTTCCCTGGAGCTAGGCCGATTTATGCCAGCCGGGGACCTGGTCGCACTCTGGTTTGCGAGGTCTCACCCTGCTCCCACTGAATTCAAGAGCAAAACTCCTGTGGGTTTCATGGGAAGCAGGACTAGGTCCAGTCTGGGGAGAGACGCACGGGCCATACAGAGGCTGCATTATCTAGGGAATCGTTTCCCAAACAAGGGGTCCCGACCCACCAGTGGGTCGCAGGGAGATTCTAGATGGGTTGCCTCAGTGAAAAGTCGGGGAAGCGCTGCTCCGCTGGCCAGGGAACTGGCTTGGGATAGGAGTCATGGGATCTATTCCCTGCTCTTGCCTCTGTTTCCCCCGGCACAACAGGGCAGGGATCTCAGCTGGACAGGGCCTGTCTCTCGCTGTGTCTATGCCAGCGCCTGGCACAATTGGCCCCTGATCTCCGCTAGGCAAGGCCTGTCTCTCACTGGGTCTGTGCAGCGCCTGACACGACAGGGCCCTGATCTCAGCCTGGGCAAGGACTGTCTACATCTTCATCTGTGCAGCGCCTGACGCCGCTATAACACACATAATAGTAACAAGCAGTATTACTGCAATGCCTTTTCCGCTGTACTGACTTGTACAAGATCCACATTGTATCCCCCTTCACCCTCAACTACCTGTCTGTCTGTCTGTCTGTGTGTCCTTTGACTGTGACTTCCCGTCTCTCCTCGACTGTCCGGAAAGGACCTAGCACCGCGCGGGCTTTGTCACTGACACAGAAATATTAGCAATAACAGCCCTGCGAAGCCTGGATCGGACCCGGAGGAACGACACACTGGAGCCAGCCCCAGTGGAAACGGCACCTGGAGACTGAAGTTAGGAGGCAAGCAAACAGCAGAGACACCGAGACTGGGCATGTTGGGGAGGGATAGCTCAGTGGTTTGAGCATTGGTCTGCTAAACCCAGGGTTGTGAGTTCAATCCTTGAGGGGGCCACTTAGGGATCTGGGGCAAAAATCAGTACTTGGTCCTGCTAGTGAAGGCAGGGGGCTGGACTGGATGACCTTTCAAGGTCCCTTCCAGTTCTAGGAGATGGGATATCTCAATTAATTTATTTATTTATATTGACCTACAGCAATGGACGCTGGGCAGCAAAAGGGGACAGATGTCAGTGTGTGTGTGTGTGTGTGTGTGTGTGTGTGTGGTGGGTGGGGGGGTTGAGTTATCCCCACTGTTGATGGCCACGGCCCCTGTGCCAATATAATGGTGCTTCCCCACTGGGATGGGAAGGGGGTTCACCCCCACACAGCAATGGCCGCCACTCCCCCACTGGGACGGGAAGGGGATTCACCCCCACACAGCGATGGCCGCCCCCAGCCACTCTGCCACGCGCGTCCGACGCTCTAGGCGTCTCTCTCGATGACCCCGGGAGCGTTCAGTCATTGGCCAGCGGGCGGCGCGAGGCGCCTCCCTTCCATTGGCCAGCGGGACCCGGCGGCGCCCTGCCATTGGCTGAAGCTTCCGAGGGCGGAGCCTTTCCTGTGCCGTATATAAGGCGGCCCCAGAGTCCCTCGCTCTCTTTTTTTCAACCGCCATCGCTGGGGCAGTTAGGGTGAGGTGAGGGCAGAGCCGGGCGCGGGCCGGGGATCGAACGGCGGCGGAGGAGGGCGGGGCTGATGGGCGAGCGCGCGGCAGAGGCAGGGCGCGCGGGGCCGGCTCGGGCGCGGGGCTATGGGGCTAGGCGGCTTCCCGCGGGCGCGCGCATGCGCAGAGGCGGGCGGCGCGCTAGGGCCTGTGGCGCGTGCGGCCCCTGGGCCTGGCGCGCGCGCCGCTGCTGCGGGGGGGGCACAGCACGTGGCCCGGGAGCCGCCCCCCCCAGCCCCGTGTATTGGGAGGTGGGGTTCGTCTCCCGCCTGCTGCCGACGGGCCGGGCGTCGGGCAAGTCGCGCCCCCCCCCCGCTGTGCCTCAGTTTCCCCCGTCTGCAAAAGCGCCCCGGAGAGCTGCGCCCCCGCCCCCCTTCCTGCACCCAGCACCCGCCCTACACCAATACCCCCCCACCCCAGTGCCCCTGTCGGTTCTGGCCTGGCTGGGGCGCTGAACTCTGCTGCCTGCACGGGCCCGGGCCCTCGCCCCGGGGGCCTGTCACGCGGCTCAGGCCGCTCTGGGTCGGTGGCACCGCGCAGGGGGTTGGTTGTGTAACTGCTGCGCTCGGTGCTGTGCAGACCCACCGCAAAGACGGGCCCCTCTGAGTGCTAGTGACTCATAGCTTGTGTGGGCTGATCCCACTGCACCCACCAGGGGCTCCTGGCAGGGGGTGTGATCCTGGGGGCTTAGGCAGGGAAGACAGGGGTGACAGAAGTTCACAGCCCGGCCCCCCCCCCGGGTAAGCTGCGCCCTGGGTTTGTGGGGTGGCTGCTGGAGGATCAAGGCCCCATGTGCTTTGGTTGGGGACGGGTGGGGATGGGGCAGAATTGTCCTGTCTCTCCCTAGCTCATTCCCTCTGTCTCTCCCCCCAGAGCCCACAGCCTCGGCCAGGATGCCCGTTGCCAGGAGCTGGGTGTGCCGGAAGACCTATGTCACCCCCCCGGCGCCCCTTCGAGAAATCCCGTCTCGACCAGGAGCTGAAGCTCATTGGTGAGTTTGAGGGGCAGGGCGGGGGCTCAGGCTGGTGCCTGCCTGGGGCTCAGTGGGGGAGGGGGGGGGGCAAGGGTGCTCTCCCCTGGCAGTCAGGGCTGGCCCTAGGGCAGCATTAGGGGGCGCTAGGGTGCACTCTCCCTGGCAGTCAGGGCTGGCCCTAGGGCAGCATTAGGGGGCGCTAGGGTGCACTCTCCCTGGCAGTCAGGGCTGGCCCTAGGGCAGCATTAGGGGGCACTAGGGTGCACTCTCCCTGGCAGTCAGGGCTGGCACTAGGGGGCGCTGTGCCACCATATGCAGCTGGCTTTGTTACACAGCATTAATGGCCCAAGAATTATTTTCTGATCTTTAGGAGATTTAACTCCATTAGTCCAGGCAATGTTCAACCTGCTGCCTCTCTAGTCAGTGGGATACAGTCCTGAACCGCGTCCCAGCATGGGGCGAGGGGTCCCTATATAACCAGCTGCTGTGCCCCAACCCAGAGGGGCCGCATCTCAATGCCTGGTGAGGGGTACCTATATAACCAGCCCCTGTGCCCCACCTCAGAGGTGGCTGCCTGTTGTCCCTGTTGGTAACAGCCCTGCTCCTCCCCAGGCGAGTACGGGCTGCGGAACAAACGCGAGGTTTGGCGGGTGAAGTTCACCCTGGCCAAGATCCGCAAGGCGGCCCGTGAGCTGCTCACGCTGGACGAGAAAGACCCTAAGCGCCTCTTTGAAGGTAAGGGGGCAGGATGTGGGGGGTGGGGGTGGCATGGTGGGGGGTGCTGGGAGCTGGTCCCAGCAGCTGTCTGAAGTTGTTGGGAGGGGAAGAGGCAGGGTCCCTGGGTCTAACCCCCCGTCTCACCGACACCCCCCCCCCCCCAGGCAACGCCCTGCTGCGACGGCTGGTGCGCATCGGGGTGCTGGACGAGGGCAAGATGAAGTTGGATTATATCCTGGGCCTCAAGATCGAGGATTTTCTGGAGCGGCGCCTCCAGACCCAGGTCTTCAAGCTGGGCCTGGCCAAGTCCATCCACCACGCCCGGGTGCTGATCCGCCAGAGACACATCCGGTAAGGCTGTGTGTGTGTCAGGACTCCTGGGTTCTCTCCCTGGCTCGGGGAGGGGAGGAGGGTCTAGTGGGGTTACACGGGGTGGGATCTGGGAGTCAGGATTTCTTGTTTCTCTCCCTGCCTCAGGGGGGTGGGGGTGGTCAGTGGATTACAGCAGGGGTTGGGGCTGGGAGCCAGGACTCCTGGGTTCAGTGATTGGCTCTGTCCCCTGTATGTGCTGGGTCGCTGAGGCTGCAGCTCCCCCCGGGTGGTGAGTTCGTGGGCAGGGGCCGTGTGGCAGGCAGGTCAGTGGCCCCGTTCTCGGTGACTGACCCCGCCGAAGACACAGGGCAAAGCTGATCCCAAGGACGTGGGGAGTTTGGCCGTTGCTCCTACCCTCCCCCGTGCCTAAAGCTTTGCTCTTGCTGTGTTGTGTAGCCCTCCTGGATGAGCCTGTGAGGCGCGTGGAGCCCCCTGCCCAGTGGGCCTGGGGAGCCCCCCCAGTCGGTCTAAGCCTGCGCTCCGGCTAGCGGGCGATAGGGCTGCCCGTCTCGGCAAGGTTCACTGCGGCAGAGCCGTACACCTTGCGAAGGGCCAAGGCCGTTCCACCAGCCCCCTGCGCTCGGGGCTGCTGCACAGGTAACGAGCCACCGGAGGCTCCCTGCCCCACGCTGGGAGGGGCCTGCGAACGGGGATTGGATCCCAGGGCTGCCTGGTAATGGAGCTTGGTTCAGTGGGACCTGGTTCTGATCTCGGCTCCCCTGGTGTCAATCTGGAGTCGCTCCTCTTTTGCAATGGGGGCAGGGCTGGGTTTTGATCTCTGCTGCCCTAGCATCAATCCAGAGGTCACCCCTTTTCTTTGGGTGACTCTGGATTCACACCTGGTACCAGCAGGAGCTGGCTTGGAGGGGACCCTGGTATCTAGGAGCAGCTGAGGTGCAGCTGGCTCTGGGGAGTGTCTGTGGGAGGAGCTACAAGATGGGAAAGGGGTGGGGCATCTGCCCCGGGGGTTGCATGTTAAATCCTGATTGGGGTCCTGTTGCCCCAGAGCACTGTGGGTAGGTGGTTTCCCGTGCCTGCCCTCACCCCTCTCCCCTTCCCCAGTGTGCGGAAGCAGGTCGTGAACATCCCGTCCTTCATTGTGCGCCTGGACTCGCAGAAGCACATCGACTTCTCGCTGCGCTCGCCCTACGGGGGCGGCCGACCTGGCCGCGTCAAGAGGAAGAACGCCAAGAAGGGGCAGGGCGGTGCCGGCGGGGCGGATGAGGAAGAGGAGGATTAAAGGCCTGGCAGCCCCCTGCTGGGCAGCCTGCACTGCTGTATCTCTCAATAAACCGGTTTGGAGTGGAGCTTGTACTGGAACTGAACTGGGCGCCCCTGGGGGATTGGCCTGTTAGTGGGGTCCTACCATTGGCGTATCAGGGCTGCTGTACCCTGGCCTGACAGCAAATGCTCAGTCTTGTGCCTCACCAGAGGGGGGTGCTCTGGGCTGTGAGAGGGAGGCCCTTTGCAACTGTCTCCTGGGCCATGCACCCTGCAGCAGGTAGTTCCCCAGCTCGCTGTGTCTGGAAATGAGCCCTGTCCTGCCTGCGACTTGCCCTTCCCCCAGCCTGGAGCTGCACCAGCCCTTGGAAATAAAACCGCGGTGGACCTGTTGTCTGTTTCCACAAGGGGGATGGAGGTGACTCCTGGGGGCAGGGGTAGGAAGGGGAAGAAGCTGGGGGCTGTCACAAAGCTCAGTTTTCCCCATCCCTCCTCCCCATGGAAACAGTGGTGGGAGCTCTAGAAAACTGTCCCCTAGCTCAACAGGCAGGTGGTCGGGGAGGAGCTGGGCTTGTTTACCCTGGGCTGGAATCGGGCCAAGGGGGCTGGGTTCTCCACTTGCTGGCTGTGCTTTGGGGGTGGTTCTGCGGTTAGAGGGGGGCATTAGGGCGGGATACTCCTCTCCACCCCCCTGAATGGTCCCCTGGATCCTAGCCCCCCCCACCCCTGCTGCTCTCTGCCCTGATGCTGGCTCAGCCAAGTCTTGGGCGAGGGGGATTTTGTTCACGGCTTGCTCTTATCAGCGTGGGGGCTGGGCATATGGGTTGGGGTGGGTGCTATGGCGTTGGGGGCTGGTGGGGAGGGAAACGGGCCCCTTCTCTGAGGTCGGGACCCCCCCGCCCTCCTTGCCAGGCTGGGCCTCTTCTGGTTCCTGCCTCATGGGGATGCCAGGCTGCCCTGATCTACACCCTGCTCCCCTCCCTGCCCGAAGCTGGCAGTGGGCACCAGGGATGGATTGTGGAGCAATTACCTGTTCTGTTCATTCCCACTGGGGCACCAGGCAGGAGCCTGGGCTAATGAACCTTTGTTCTAGCTGGGTTGGGCTGTTCTTAGCTCACCCCCCAATCCTCCCAGGCTGAGAAGGGGGCTCTAGCAACTGGCAGGACAGTGGCTTTATGGGGGGGCTGGTGATGGGGATGAGAGACCTGCCCTGTGCCCACAGTGCCTGGCACTGTGATCCCTGGTGCTGTATTGGCTGGGGGCGCCCCACCCACCAGAGGGAGGCGGGTCCGGGGCCGGCCTCTGCTGGGAAACGAAGGTGAAAGGCCGGAACTGAGCCGGGGGGCCAGCCCGGGGCTGTAATGGCACAGTGCTGCCGGTTCCCCTCACCCCCGATCTTGCCCCTCAACCCGGCCGCGGGGGGAAGCGAAAGCCAGAGCGGCGGAAGCAGCTGGGTTTTTTTCTGAACCGCTGAGGCCGTTTTCAGTAACTTTGCTCCCCTGAGTCAGCGGTCGTGGTGCCAAGAGCCTTACGGGAACGGCCGGGCGCGGAAGGGGGTCAGGCCGGGGTCACTCCTAGATGCAGCAGCTTCTGGGGTGGGGCGGGGGGGGGTTGGTTTACAGAGGATCCCTCAACCAGCAATGAGCTGCAGGGAATGAGGCACCGGGCCTTTTCCCCTCTGGTCCCAGGCCTGGGTCTTGCCTGGCTCAGGGGGAATGGGGCTTTTCCCCTTAGGGAGCACTGGCTTTGATTTGTGGGGCTGCCCCTGCATCCCCCAGGCCCCAGGCAGCCCCCAAAGCAGTGGCGGGAGGCAGGATGCAGCAGACAGGTTTATTCCATCCCGATGCAGCGGTACAAGGCCCCCGTGCAGCCTGGCCCACGGCCCGGCCCGGGCCGGCTGGTGGTAACGGGGCCCCGAGCGCCCCTGGCGGGATGAGGTGGGAGCCCCACCGTGGGGCCATGGTCCAATCTGGCTCCTCCGGGAATAGACGGGATCTAGACCCCATGCCCTTCCCAGAGCTGCGGAGAGAACCCAGGAGGCCTGGCTCCCAGCCCCCCCTGCTCTGATCACTAGACCCCACTCCCTTCCCAGAGCCAGGGAGAGAACCCAGGAGTCCTGGCTCCCAGCCCCCACCAATTCCTGAGTCTCCCTCCCAGTTCTTACCCTGCGTCCCAGCCCTGGTCTGAAGAGCCCCCTCTCCCATCCACTCCAGGCCTTTCTCCCCCTCCAGTCCCATCTCCCCCACACTCTGGAGCGGCCATGGGGTTGGTGCCAATCTGCTCCCCCCCATCTCTCCCCGTCCTGCGGTGCTGGGTTTTCCATAGGGCGTGGGGTACAGACCGCTTCCCCGGTCTTCCTCCCACTGTGCTGGAAAACCCTGGGGTGTCCTAGAGGGGGTCCCGCTCTCCAGTTTCCTCCCCTCCCCCAGCTGTGCTGAGAAGGCCTGAGTTATGGGAGGGCCTCCCTGTACCCCAACTGCCTCCCATGAGCATTGGGGGGATACTGAGCGCAGGCCGGGGGTCCCCCCTCGCTCCTCTCCCCTCCATCTGTGCAGACAGTTCTGTAGGGCCTGGGCAGGGCCCCCTTAGCAGCGCAGGGAGTTGCGTAGGGCCCGGGGCACGGGCAGCCCCTCCAGATCGGGCCCCCCGGTCCCTGCCCGGACGCTGGCCCGCACGGCCCGCCGGCACAGCTCCTGCAGCGAGGCCACCTTGCAGCGCAGCGGGCGGGCGAGCGCCAGGGGCTCGGGGCGGCTGCCCTGGGCCTCCACGTAGCAGGGGGCCCCCGGGTGCCCAGCCCGCCCCAGGTAGTGCTCCACCAGCTGCACCACGCAGGTGAAGGCGGGCGGGCAGGGGGCCCCCGGCTGGGTCTCCAGGTGGAAGGCGGCTCCCTGCTGCTGGATGCGCAAGTTGGTGATGCCGGCTCCGGTGCGGAGGCTGAGGGTGAAGAGGTGCCGGTGGTCGGAGGAGTCGCGGACGAGGAAAGCCCCCGGCGGGTGGGGGCTTAGCAGTCGCTTGGCCTCCGCCCCCGACAGGCTGCCCCAGTAGAAGCCGCTGGCCTCCAGCCGCTCCAGCGCCGTCTCCACGCGCTCGAAGTCCCCGCAGAAGCTGCGGTAGTGGTAGGAGAGGGCGGGGGGCTGCGGGGCGGGGGGCCCGCTCATGGCTGCCGGGGGGTATGGGCAGCAGTGGAGGCAGGGCCAGCACAGCGGGACCATCGCGCTGCCCAGGCCGGATTCTCCTCCCCCGGCTCCCTGCTGAGTCGTCCTGGTCACCGGGGTCCCTCCCGCGGGATCATCTGTGGAGAGAAGGGGGGGTCAATGAAAACGGGCGTGGAGGGAGCCTGGGGCTGTGGGTCGGGAGTGAGGGGCAGCTCAGAGCAGGTGACTGATTGATTCTGATACCTGGAAGTTCTCACACAGAATGCAACACCCGCTATTAATGCTCTTCACGACCTAATGGCCCTGGGGCTGGGGAGAGAACCCAGGAGTCCTGGCTCCAAACCCCCCTGCTCTAGCTACTAGACCCCACTCCCCTTCCAGAGCCAGGGAGAGAACCCAGGAGTCCTGGCTCCCAACCCTCTCCCGCTCTAACCGCTAGACCCCTCTCTCCTCCCAGAGCCAGGGAGAGAACCCAGGAGTCCTGGCTCCCAGCCCCCCACCCCCGCTCTAACCGCAAGACCCCACTCCCCTCCCAGAGCCGGGGAGAGAACCCAGGAGTCCTGGCTCCCAGCCCGTGCTCTGACAACTCTAGTATTAGAATCACCTCCAGGTGTAGAGGGCTGTGTGGACACTTACTTGCATGCTGGGATTTCTGTGCAGAACACACAGACACACACACTGAGTGCTGGAGATACAGCCTCTCACACACACAAATCACTGACACACACACACACACACACAGAGCAACACAGGTGCACACAAGCAGGCTCAGACACACACACATACACACAGTCACGTACCCTTAGAGTCACCTACAAGACCCACCAACCCACCCACCCAAACGTCACACTGCAGCCAGTCAGTAACACACAGCAAACTGCAACCCATACAGTTATACACACACCCACACACATAATTACAAACACACACTCCCAGAAACACCTCTGCATACCAGTGATAGACACACTAAATTATGTGGATACACACACTTAATCACACCCCACAGGAGAACATACTTAAAAATCTATGGTGTGTGTGTGTGTGTGTGTGTCCCTGCCACCCCATGCTGGAGGGGATGAGTCCTGCACTGTGTGTGTTTGTATATACACCATACAACACCCACAAAATATACGCACAAAACATACCATCCCCACATCCACATACTTATAACACACTCATCAGAAACCTCATCACAGATCTACACACACAACATACTATTCCATATAATTATACACACACACTGAAAACACACCCACATAAACACAAGCATTCACAACAACCCATACACATGCATCCTCACACACATATAACACACAATGCACACAGATATGGTAAACACAAAGACACATATATATCTCCTGTGTCTGATTTACCTCTGTGTACGCTACACACAAAGAATAAGAGGCATAAACACACACACACACACAATATACACACAGAGAGAGTGTGTGTGGAACACACCCACAGACAAAACATGTATACATTCACACCAACAAAATATGCAAACTTATTCATAACATATACACACAAAATGTACACACACCCGCTCAATCCTCCCCACACAACATGTACACACACAATCCTCCCCACCCCACATAAGATGTACACATGCACACACATGCACATTATCCTCCTCACATACAATGTACACACAATATACACACATACAATCCTCCCCACACAACATGTACACACAATACACACACACAAGCCTCCCCACTCAAAATGTGCATCACACACACACTCCCCCCCACCAAGATGTACACACACACACAATCCTCCCCACACAAGATGTACACATGCACACACACGCACACGATCCTCCTCTCACAAAATTGTACACACAATACACACACACACTCGATCCTGCCCACACAAGATGTACACACACCACACACATGCACATGATCCTCCTCACACACAATGTACAC